GGACAGGCAGTTTGAGCTAGAGTTCCTGGCGGCCGCTTCCCCTCATCTCTGTGCCATGCTCCTCGCCCCTGAGGGTGACCCCGACGCCCTTGACATTCCGACTCCTTGCACTTATGCTAAGGCAGTGTCAAGGCCTTGGGCCTCTCAGTGGAGAGCTGCCATGGACGCAGAGATGGCCTCCTACAGATCCACAGGCACCTACGTCGATGAGGTTCCCCCCCCTGGGGCGAACGTAGTCGACGGCATGTGGATCTACAGGGTGAAGCGGCCACCGGGATCTCCCCCGGTCTTCAAGGCGCGCTACGTGGCTAGAGGTTTCAATCAGCGCGAGGGAGTTGACTTCTTTCAGACCTTCGCACCTACCCCGAAGATGACCACTCTTCGGGTGTTACTACACGTAGCAGCACAGAGAGACTACGAGTTACACTCTCTCGACTTCTCCACTGCTTTCCTTCAGGGCAGCCTACACGAGGAGGTCTGGTTGCGTCGTCCCTCGGCCTTCACTGGCACTTTCCCTCCTGGGACCCAGTGGAGGCTGAGGCGACCTGTTTACGGTCTTCGCCAGGCCCCTCGTGAGTGGCACGACACTCTGCGTTCTACCCTCTCTGACCTTGGGTTCCAGCCGTCTTCTGCCGGCCCGTCGCTGTTCGTTCGTCGTGGCTCCACACCGTTCTTTGTTCTGGTCTACGTCGACGACCTCGTTTTCGCCACTCCGGACAGGGTTGCTTTGGCAGACGTGAAGTCCGAACTGCAGAAGAGACACACGTGCACTGATCTTGGTGAGCTGCGCCACTACCTTGGCCTGCAGATCACCAGGGACAGAGCCGCTCGCACCATTACACTCTCACAGTCACACATGGTGCAGCAGGTCCTTCAGCGGTTCGGGCTTCAGCACTCCACCGTACAGCGCACACCTCTCGTGTTGACCACAGACTCACTGGTCCCTTTCCTGACGAGCCGTTTGAGCCTAGTGGTCCCTACGCAGAGCTTGTGGGTTGCCTCATGTACCTGATGACTTGTACTCGCCCGGACCTCGCCTTCCCTCTCAGCATCCTTGCGCGCTTTGTTGCGCCAGGGAGACACCGTCCTGTTCACTGGACGGCAGCTTTGAGGGTGGCGAAGTACCTAGCGACTACATCAGGCGTGGGGCTAATTCTTGGAGGGCAGCAGTCTGTCGTACTCACTGGTCACTGTGACTCCTCTTACGCTGACGACGCTGAGACTCACAGGTCTACTCAGGGGTACTGTTTCAGTCTGGGTTCTGGAGCTGTTTCCTGGCGTTCCACGCGCTCCTCTTCTGTCTCGACCTCTACAGCTGAGGCTGAGATTTACGCTGGTGCCATGGCGGCACAGGAGTTGCGGTGGTTGACCTTCTTGCTCGCCGACCTTGGTGAGCGGCCGAGCTCTGCACCGACCTTGTTCACTGACAACAAGGCGTCGATCCTCCTCTGTCGTGAGCCGCGACTGGAGAGCAGAGTGAAGCACATTCACGTCAGGTACTTTCTTCTGCGAGAGTTGCAGAGGCGTGGACAGGCTCGCTTCGAGTTTGTAGAGTCCGAGGCCAACACTGCAGACATCTTCACCAAGGCGCTTCCGCCTCGTGACCACCAGAGGTGTTGTGTGCAGTTAGGCCTTGTTGACACAGGTTCTAGTTATGTGTAGGCTTGAGTTTATTGCCTGCTTCGTCTGTACTCTTGCTATATATACTTGTGATCTCTTGGACTGGCCTTGTCGCCACTGTTGCTTGTGCTCAGAGTGTGTGGTGACGTTGTGATCCACCCTGAGCTTTGTTTTCTTTTGGACTGGTCTTGTGACCGTACTCTTTTTATTTTGCTAGACACCCCTCACTTAGGCTATGGGGGTGTGTCAAATGTTGTAGCCTATAGTGAGGTTTGTCTTAGGGGGTACAGAAGTTAGGGTTTGTTATATGTACCCCAACCAACATCAATGGCATCATCCATTCCTCATTCTGACAGTTCCCTGCATCACACGGAGTGGGGCGGGGAAAACATGAGACAAGTAAACATGCATTCAACATGCATTTGCAGACGGGAGCACATGCCGTCACTCACCTGCCGGGGTCAGGATGTTCATGCCGTCCTCCTCAAACCAATTCTGGTACTGCTGACGAATGCTTGCTTTGAAGCTCTTGTTGATCGACACATCGAGGGGCTGCAGGTCTGCCGTGCAACCCGCCGGAATGATAGCAGGCACGATGTTGAGCGCCGCGAATCTCGCCTTGACTTCTGGTGTCAGGTGACCGCGATACGAGTCGAGCACCAGCATGGCGCTACGACTCTGCAGGCCGAATTTCGGCTTCAGGAACGGCACCACGCCCGTGTTGAGCCACTCGATGACGCCTGCGGCCTCCATCCACCCGTTCGCTTGGCAGCTGACCACAACATCTGCACGCAACGAAAAAGAACGGTTGACGACTCAGGTAGTAACGGTAATAAACACGCGCGACGATCACTTACCGTTCGGGAAGTCACCCTTGGGGAGTGTCTTGCGCTTGAAAAACACCCACGGCTTCAGCTTCTCGCCTATCGCTGTGCACGCAAGCATGACGGTCACTCTCTCCTTCTGGTACCCACCGCTGCGGATGGGCACCGACCTCACGCCCGTCTGCTCCACGGTGGTCGTCGCCGGCATCTCCAACCACAGCGGTGTCTGGTCGGCGTTGATGATGTAGCGGTTGTCAATGTCGTATTCGTTCCGGGCGTCACGTACGTACTGCCAAAAATCCTTGCACTGCTCAGCCACGTCTGCGGAACAGGGAGAAAAGTACATATAGTAAACCAAATTAGTATGACGCACAGGAGACATGCGAAAAAAAAAAAACTAAGCGTAATCGGGATAAACCAAAATCAGCAGTAAACGACCCACTTACGCTCCTGTGTTTTCTGCGCCACCTTTGTTTTCATGCGCACGCTGAGGTTCCACCGCCTGCGGAACCGCTCAGTCCACCGCTGACTGCCTTTCCACTTGACGTCCGGGTATAGAACCTTCATCACTTCTTTGGACCACTCTTGCAGCCGGCCGACCGAAACCGCAACTCCGCGGCGTCGCCAGTCGAGGAGTTGCGCGTACACCTTTAACTCCATGGGGCGGTACCAAGACGACCTCCCGCGCCCGTGAAGTCGCATCCGTGCTCCGTGTGCAGCCTTGAGCGCCTCCGCTTGGGCTTTCCATTCTGTCAGACATTTTCGGTGTATGCTTGACTCCCGCGCCACTTCGCTCACCGAAGCCGCAAGCTCGAGCCGCACGAGCCACCTCAACTTCTCCTGGGCGGTGTAGCACTGCCGCTTATGTTGATTCAGCTTTTGCCTGGGGGAGGGGGGGCGGGCATCTCGATTCTCGGTAGACGGGTGGGGGCGTTTTTTGTTAAGGGGCGGATACGTCGGTACCGGCATCTTCTCGCGTGGTGCGTCGCGCCACCAGGACTCCACACCGTCCTCGTCCTCGTCACGGTCGGGGAACACGTCTTCCTCGTCGCCCGCTGCACCGTCACCACCAGCTTCACCGTCGCCTCCAGCTTCGCCGGCGCCGCTGTCATGTTTGTCGGTAGCCACATCATCGTCGGCGCCCACAGCCGACTCATCCCACGCGCAGACTTCTGGTTGTCCCCACCGTGGTGCAGTCGCTGGAGCTTGGATGCGTGCATCGGGGGCCTTGGGTGTGTCCGCTTCAGCCAACCATTCGTCGAACGTGGCTGGTAAATACAGTTGGAGCACGGGCCGTTGGTGAGCACCTGCCGTAGCAAAAGCAGGCGGATTCGGAGGAGCGGGAGGTGCGGGAGGAGCGGGTGGAGCAGGGGGTGCAGGGGGAGCAGGAGGAGCAGGGGGTGCAGAGGGATCCGGTGGCACTGGAGGCGCTGGTGGCTCACGGGTATACCACCCGTCCTCGGTAAGTCGCCATGTGCGGCGTGGTTTCTTCTTGAAGAGGATGTGAGTCCCACTAAATTCCGCCATGGCTTCGCCTGCCAGGCGGGCTAGACAGGAAACTGAATGAAAAAATTAGAGACGAGGGTGAAGAAATGGGCAACGACGGGGACCCCTGCTGCGTGGCGGCTTGGGTTCCTCGTCGATGACAGGCAGGAAACCCCCGCCCACTCCCGTAGAGGCGCCTGCGTGGCAGCATCTACGCTACGCTGGCAGGGAATCTTGCCGAACCTTCGAGATGGTTCTGCCCGAATGCACATGCCACGCAGTGCATGCGACTCTGATTGGGCCGCACGACAACATCCTCGTCACGTCTGTTACATTCGATGTTTCCAGACAACATTGTGCGGTGGGAAACCGAACCGCTGCGGTTTCTGCCTGAAAATCATGCACGATCCCACTTGGTGCATGGTCGGTTGAATTCGCCTTATTGAGAGCTTCACAATGGTGTGTTCAAATTTGATTTTCATTTTTCCCTTTATACAAACGCATGCGCTTATAAATCTGACTCAATTATAAGCGCACCCCTCCAAAAAACAATGTTTTATTATATGCGCAGGTGCGCTTCTATCCGGGGTATTACGGTAGACTAGCCATGTACTCTAAGGGGTACATTCCCTTATTACAACTGAATTCAAAACCGTGCGGCGCGGGAACCCGTTCAAAACCTGTTCCCGCTCTTTTCACTTCAAATGTTTCTGCCTACATCGGTCTTGGTCTGACGGTTGCTGCGTCGCTTCGGCTCTTCTGACTCCTCAACTTCGTACTCGGTAGAGTCGGCTCCTGCAGCATACAGGAATGCCTTCTCATAAAACTTCACATCGTAACAGAAGAGACTGCCTGAGAGCCTTCACTTGGTTGCACCAAATGTTTCAAAGGTTTTTCAAATACACACATCGCTGTCGTGACTATAATGAAGCAGGATCGTCCGGAACTTGGCCCACAATCACACACTACATTTGATTTCCCCAAGCCATTATCAACACACTGTTGCCTGTTACCAACCGCTTGTTACACATAATTCTGCTCTGCTGCTACCACCCATCTCACCATCTCACACTACAAAGCAACAGGCTCCCTGTCCCTCTCTTCTGCCTGCTTCCCCTTTCCCTTCCCCTGCACTTTCTCTCCACCTTCCTCCTTCCTCTCCTCCTCGATCTCCTCCCCTGCACTCTCATCCAACCCGCCTGACTCAGCAGCAAGGAACATCTTCCTCCTCCGATCCACCCCCTGTCTCGAATACTCCCTCCATCTCCTAGCCGCCGCTGCCGCCCGCCTGACTTTCTCCTGGTTGACAGGGTTACTGCTAGCAGCCTTATCAGACACGCCTTCCCCGTCACCTCTCCAGGAGGATTTCTCCCCGCCCATCCCCATGGCTTCACCCATGGTCTCCCACAGCGGCTTGTTGTACTTGCCTGCCTTCCCGTCCCTTGCTGCCTGCGCCTTTGCCTTGGACTGGAGGGAAGAGAGAGAGCGTGGAAGAGAGAGGGTGGAAGCGAGAAGGTTGAATGAAGAGGAGGGGAGAGAGCGAGGCAGCGGCTTGTCGTACTTGCCTGTCTTCCCGTCCCTTGCTGCCTGCGCCTTTGCCTTGGACGGTTGCGAAGGCAGGCGATTTGTGTTAGGGAAATTCGTGGGGGTGGAAAGCGGGAGGGAGGGTGGGGGGTGTCGGGGGGAGGATCAGTGTGCAACGAGGAAGGGGCATATAAGGACCTTTTGTGTCGTGTGCCATTGTAACGACGTGACTTTTGAGTCGACTCAAAAGTCAGTGTGTAACAAGGAAGGGGCGTACAAGGACCTTTTGTGCCGTGTGCCATTGTAACGACGTGACTTTTGAGTCGACTCAAAAGTCAGTGTGTAACGAGGAAGGGGCGTACAAGGACCTTTTGTGTCGTGTGCCATTGTAACGACGTGACTTTTGAGTCGACTCAAAAGTCAGTGTGTGACGAGGAAGGGGCGTACAAGGACCTTTTGCCCACCACTGAAGAATACGGGAAGCAGTTTCATGGTAGGGCATCTATCCTTGCTCCAAAATGCCACAACACCAACCCCAACTCACCAGTGCTTTGTTGCGTCGCTTCTCCCATCTGGAATTCGCCTGCATGAACACATCGGCCCCGCGGCTGCTCTGAGCCTGCATGATAGCGACGCTCACTCGCTCCATGCGCCTCATCTCGTCCTCTAGAAGCGCCAGCTGTGGCGATGTCACCCAGTGGATGCATGACACGGGGCTGATGGGATGAGGAGGCACACGGGCAGGAAAGAAGAGGGGCAGAGGGGAAAAGAGCAGGGAGGAAAGATGAGCGTGCATGACGGCGACGCTCACTCGCTCCATGCACCCCATCTCGTCCTCTAGAAGAGCGAGCTGCGGCGATTTCACCCAGTGAATGCACGACACGGGGCCGATGGGGTGAGGAGTAGGGCAGGGAGGCAGAGAAGCAGGGAGCGGGTTTGTGGAGGGTGGGGAGGACGGGGGAGGGAATGGGGGGTTGCGAGCAAGCAGAGCAGAGCGAGAATGGGTACGAATGAAGATGAAACGTTGACTTTGTGTGACTCGAGAGCACAAAACATATGACCTGGTTTGACTGAATGGTAGACCTGCGTTGACTAGCGTTGAACGGCGTTCACTCACCATGTCTCAACGGCCTCCTGAATCTTGGCGGGCGGGTTGCCGCCCTGGTTGCACACGCGCGCACGGCCCCACATCTCCTCGATCTCGAATGTGTCCTCCGCGGTATTAGCGCAGTTCTTGCAGCCTAATAACGGGAAACAAATGTAGAGAAACCTTACAATGAATGTAGCGCCATTCACAAGAAGAATTTAGGATTGAAGGGGGGCGCTTTCACAGCATAATTTTTTTATGTACGTCCGCGGGAGATTCCAGCTGAAAGCATGGTCACTCACCAATGCATGTGAACTCGTCGACAAACACTTGGTCTTTCTCGTGTCGCGTATCCATGAACGGATTAATCGACGTCAGCGAATATCCCTTAATTTCATCATACACGAGCCGCATCTCGGGATCACTCAGTACCTATATTGCCACGAAAATGATAGCAACCGAAAGCAAGAAGAACTTGGTAATGAGAAAACAATGTAGAGCAACGATGTGAATTGAGGGTGTTTTTGAGACGTCTCAAAAACACCCTCAATTCACGAAAGCAAGAAGAACTTGGTAATGAGAACACAATGCAGAGCAACGATTACGATGACGCAGAGACAGGAAATCGCCGTAAAGATAAAAGGCAACCCTTTGCGGATAACTCATTAATGCGTACGGGATGCGGATTTGATAACGCACCTCGTAGACCTCGTTGACGAAGGAGCAGAAGGTGACGCTGTCGGGGTGGTTGTTGCTGAGATCTGGGTGACACGCCTTCATGCACGCGTAGTACGCGCGCTTGATCTCCTCGGGCGTCGCGTCGCAAGTCTGTTGGGAGGGAAAAGCGGGACCGTTGAAGACGGATAATATTTGAACTGACAGTTGAGTTACCTAAAGAAGCAAATGTTTTGCGTTCATTTCTGCCAAGCGAAATTTAAACGAGCGTTCCACGCTACATGCACAGCTTTCCACTGAATAGGCAAAAGGCAGGGTCGTAAGTCGGTAATTCATAGAGCAGGGTCGTCAGCACTGCTCTCCCCCTCAACAGAGTTAATTTTTTGGGAAGTTACGTGTTACAAAAGCCAGAAGTGTTTAGAGGCGACTCAAAAAACATCTCCAATCTTGACTTACCAAGCCGAGGATGGAGTAATAGTCGTCGGCGATGCTCTCCCCCTCAACATCAACCTCCTCCTCCGTCAACGCTCTCACGCGCAACCTCTCCGCTCCCCCGCTCCCGCTCCCGCTCTTCCCGCGCCAGCTGCGTAATCCCGCAGTTGAGCTTCCGCCGAGCGCTCTTCCCCCAAGCGCGCTTCGCAAAGCTGTCCTCCCAACAACGGAGGACGACGCGGTGCGGCATGAAGGGCTGTCCACGTGGCAGGATTGTCGGCACGTGGCTAGCGGGCCAACGCCGGACGGGAGGGTCGTGGTCGCCATGGTGCCTTGCGCCTTTTGCGAGTCGACGAGGAAAGTTCCCGACACGCGGAGGCGTGGATCGCGCCGCGCCTCAGCGATGAGTGATGAATATTGAACGGGAATATTATGGCTGCCGTGGACTGATGTGTGCTGTTAGAACAAGTTTCAACTACGTTTGGAAGCCTGCACCGTTTATGGCTGACTGCTTTTCAACAAACGTAAAGTTGTTCGGGAAGCGAAGGGTTGTGCGTCAATATGGGAGGATTTTTTTCTCAGTTCAGCCCAACGCTATCCCTACAGCTCACTAAAGTCAAGTTGAACGCATATGTTCGGATAGGGACGGTGCTGTTCAAGCTGAGTGAGGATGAAGAAAATGTGGTGTGTTAGGAGAATAAGGACTGAATTAGAGGTAAGTGCAGCCAAAAGTATCTTGGAAAAAATGACTGGAAGGGCGGTCAGGCGGAGGAATTCACAGCCCCTAGACTAGAGTCTAGAAGTACCCGGCGCTTCGACTGGACTCTCCATTGCGACTGACGTGACGACGGTTGGGCTCGCAGATTGTAGATTCCGCATCGGACGGTTTTCGTACCCTCAGACGGACGATCGTGCCATCTGGACGGCTAAGGTGGGCAGAACACATTGCTGTTGAATGTGGAACGGGGAAGGGGTCTGGGGTGCATGGTCGCCAGGTAACAAAATCCTGACTACAAGTGGTTATTCGCCAGCTGGAAATCTGATTGAGGAGGCGCAAACGAATCAAAACTGAAGCCGAATGGCTTAAGTGCGGGAGATTGGTTCGTAAGGTTCCATGGTTGTGGGGATTTTAGCAGAAAGCCATCATGGATTGCGGATCTGCCAGCAAATCACATGTCATTAGTGCTATCATGCCCAGCTATTGGCTGGGCATGCAGAGGGCGAGGTGGACGCGAGGCGAGAGCGTGATGATAACCTGCAGGACACGTGGAACGTTTATACGCTACCACAAACCTCGCTGTATCAATTCAGTAAGATACATTGGCGAATTTAAACATGACTTGCAAGAGTTTGTATGGAATAACATGTCAAAGAACATCCTAACCTGAAGCTCTTAAAGACGGTAGAGAGGGGTGATTCCAAGAAGCTCAAAGCACTTGCGCATCACCACAGCCGTGGCTTCGCACAGGATGAGCCGACTATCCTCGTACTCGTTGCCAACCACTTGGCAGTTGGTGTAGAACGTTGTGAAGCTTCCAGAGAGGTTGTAGAGATACTCGCAGAGCGTGTTGGGAAGCAAATCCTGCACTGCACTCTCAACAACCTGATGGGAAGCCAAATGGCGGGGAACATAGGGAAATTTTGTTGTGTTTGGACGAGTTTAGCCACGTTATAGTTTGAAAATAAGAAATAAAAGCCGACAAAGAATGCACAACCCTGCTAGCTAGGTGCATCGTCACACATAATGCATATTAGAGCCAGACAACGTACCTCTGAGAATCGGCTGAGTTCGAGCGCGAGAGCCCTCTCACTCGGATGGTCCAATCTGAGCTTCGTTCCACTCTGAAGACGCAAAAAGGAGGTTGGGAAGGGGGCCAAGGAGAGAAGCAAGTGGAAAGGATGGAGAAGAAATATATGTGTGTTTATGACTCAAGTGGTCCAACTGAGCTTGGTTCCACTCTGAAGCGGCGAAAGAAAAGGGAGAGAATCGAGGCAGATGCAAAGGGAAAACAGAGCAGGTGAAATCTATCAGACACAGATTCAAATGCATAAGCACAGCACGCCGTGCTGCGAAGTGCTCTTTGAGATGCCTAAAAGCCTAGACCAATACACCTAGCTGCAGTAGATTTGTGTAGTCGCCCATGGAAAATCACCACCCCACATAGGCCTCACTAAAGGCTCTGTTGTGCGCACCTGAACAATCTCCTCCACGTTCTTCCCAGATTTCACGAGTAGATAGGTTATTTTTAGACGTTTCAAAAATTACCTATCTACACGTGGCTCTGTTGTGCGCACCTGAACAATCTCCTCTACGTTCTTCCCAGACTTGCGAATGATGGAGCAGATACGCGCATGCGCGTACAGCAGGTAGACCGCAGTGTTACCCTGGTGTGGCGGGAGAGAGAGGGGGGGAGATGGGTATATAATGAAAGTAAAAATAACGTTGAACAACAGCAGGAAGCCGCTGCGCGCGTGTGCGTACCGCAGGTAGACCGCAGTGTTGCCCTGGAAGGGAGAGGATTGGGGAGGGGTGGCGTGGGAGAGGAAAGTGGAATGGTACGAAGAAGCTGCTGTTAACCATTGAAGCATGAGCATGTGCGTACAGCAGGCAGGTGCACACCACAACAGTGTTGCCCTGGTGTGAAGGGGGTTGGGAAGGGTGGGGGTTGGGAGAGGTGACTTTTGAGTCGACTCAAGAGCACTTGCATTTACTAGGCGACTTGTGAGTCGACTCAAAAGTCACCCCATTGAAGCATGTGCGTACAGCAGGTGCACACCACAGCAGTGTTGCCCTCGTGTGAAGGGGGTTGGGAAGGGTGGGGGTTGGGAGAGGAAAGTGTGCTGTGAAGCAGGTGGAGAACGAACATTTTTTAGACGTCTCAAAAATGTTCTTTCTAAGGGTGGGGGTTGGGAGAGGAAAGTGTGCAGTACAGCAGGTGGACAGGCTGCTGTTGACCATCCAAGCATGCGCGTGCAGCAGGTGCACAGCAGTGTCGCGCAAAATAGGAGAGGGGATTCAGGGGAGGGAGAAGAGAGGAGTCAGGGGAGGGAGAAGAGGAAAGGGAGGAACGGGGGAAAGCGGCGAAGGAGGGTGCAGCAGGAAGGAGCAATTGGCATGCAGTTAAATAAACAAAAGCATCGTAGAACAGCAGGTAAACCATGTGTAGGCCAAACAAAAAAAAGCTAAAATGGCATAATAGGACCATATATCCGCACCTTCATATCGAGCATTCGGTCATAGTCAAATGTATAGTTGGTTCGCACTCACAGCAGAGCACAAGCACAACAGCATAGAATCACATCTCCATCCATCCTCGCCTTCATATCGAGCATTCAGTCGTAGTCAAATGTATAGTTGGTCCGCACTGACAGCACAGTACCACCAGCACAATGGCATGTAGTCACAGCTCCGTTAGATCTCACCTTCATATCGAGCATTTGGTCGTAGTCAAACGTGTAGTTGGTAAGCCGATTGTTCTTCAAATCAGCGTATCTGCGATCAATCATGAGTTGACGTGACGACAGGGGGGGCATGTGTTAGGGGCATCAACACGCATCGCAACAATTGGCCTCGTGGCCCACGGCTGAAACTGCTGCATTGAGCTTTGTTTTGAGCATATTTCCTACCTGACCACACCTGAGCGCTAAAAAACAAGGGATTTGTGAGAAGACTTAACGACACCTGACAGCCAAACCACAACTCCAGAGCTTCCTTTCATAAAACCAAATCCCACACTGCCACTCACTTGACTGCCCCATAGCCCAGTGCAGCGGCTGCTGCGTTGACCTCCTCCTCCTTCCACTCGCCCTCCCGACCTGATGGGGCGGAAATGAAGTGATGGAAAAAGGCGGGGCAGAGGGAGCATTCGTTGTGAGATGTAAAAACTAGATTGCAGTGATTGCTAACAACAAGGTGTAGGAGGGGGAGGCGGGAAGTAAGAGCGATTGCAACCAAAAAAAGCAGAGCTTGATTTTCAGTTGCATCTGCTAGCAGCAAGACAAGGGGATATATTCTGCAGCTGCTCTGCTCCTCACCACCTAGCTGCTGCGCGTGCGGTATCCCATTTTACCCTTCCCATCATCGCCCAGCACCAGCCCGAACCCCACATGGTCCACACAGATAGCGGGTGCATTCGTTGCTGCCTCTTCATAATGTTGCAGGTTGCTTTTGAGAATTCTCAGAAACAACCCACTTCAATATGCACCGCTTCCCATCCTCGCCCAGCACCAGTTTTGAGGCGCCTCAAAAGTTGTTTTCGAGAATTCTCAGAAACAACCCACTTCAATATGCGCTTTTTGAGGCGCCTCAGAAGTTGTTTTTGAGAATTCTCAGAAACAACCTACTTCAATATGGGCTTCCCATCCTCGCCCAGTTTTTGAGGCGCCTCAAAAATCGTCTCAGTTTTTGAGGCGCCTCAAAAATCGTCTCAGTTCTTGAGGCGCCTCAAGAAACCACCTACTTCAATATGCGCTTCCCATGCCCAGCGGCAGCCTTAGTCCCCTTCCTTCTCCCTCCACCCCCCCCGCACCGCTTTCCCCACGAACACTATTTCCCACCCACGTATCTTGCTCAACCAGCCCCTGGCGCGGGTGGCAGCCTCATCAAGCAGGTCAACCAGCCGCACCACCTCGCTGCTGCTGCTACGAGTCGCTTAGGGGGGCCGGCCTTTTCCCATCCAACCATGCACCCACCTCGCTCAACGAGCCCCTGCTTGGCGCGGGTAACAGCCTCGTCCAGCAGGTCGACCAGCCGCACCAACTCGCTGCTGCTGCTGCTACACCCACCTCTCCCTTCCATCCACTAACTCTTATTCTAATTACTCACCTCGCTCAACGAGCCCCTGCTTTGCGCGAGTAACCGCCTCGTCAAGCAGGTCCACCAGCCGCACCACTTCACTGCTGCGCGTGCGGAACCGCTTCCCATCGTCGCCCAGCACCAGACCGAACCCCACATGGTCCACTCGGATAGCAGGCGCATTTGCTGCTGCTGCTCCTTCAGTTGCAGCCTTGCCCTTCTTGGCCTTGCCCGCATAGAAGCCCGCCTTTTGGGCTGCCTGGAGGAGGGACGATGGGGAGAGGGCGTTGAAGAGAGAGGTGGTTACAGTACAAACGAGATCAGCCGCTCCCCATCGTCGCCCAGCACAAGCCCGAACCCCACATGGTCCACGCGGATAGCTGGTGCTGTGCTTCCCTCCTCACTTGCTGCTGTTGCCTTGCCCTTCTTGGCCTTGCCTGCGTAGAAACCCGCCTTTTGAGCTGCCTGAGGCGTGGAGGAGGGAGGGAGGGGGCAAGGGATGGACGAGAGTGAATGTGATTTTAGTCCTGGAGAGTTGAAGGGAGAACCAGAGCGAGATGTATTTTGAGGCGCCTCAAAATACACCTCAATGCACGCTGATTGTAGTCCTGGAGAGTTGAAGGGAGAACCAGAACGAGAAAGCAGTGGAGCGTAAAAAAGGGGGGCATCTATCTTACCTTGAAGAACATGTCAAAGTGCTGCGACTGCGCAACATGAGGTGCTGACCTGTCAGAGTTTAAAAGCATGTTTAGCAGCTCACCTTGAGAAACTTGTTCAAGAGCTCACCTTGAAGAACATGTCAAAGTGCTGCGACTGCCCAACATCCGTGACGTAGACGACCCACTCCGCCTTCTCCTCCTCTATGCGGTAGCTGTGAGGGAGGGGAAATGCAGGGGCAGGAGAGAGCGAGGTGAGAGATGAGGGAGGGGAAGGGAGGCACAGCAAGCGAGGGAGGCACAGCATGCGAAGGAGGCACCACGTCACGTGGACAACCGACTCCGCCTTCTCCTCCTCTGCGCAGTATCTGTGAGGGGGGTTGGTGAAAGATGGAGGGGAGAGTGGGGGAAGGGGATGAACGAAGGGGCCCGGGAAAGGAAGAGACCAGTCACGTCCGTGTCTTGAACGACCCGCTCCGCCTTCTCCTCCTATATGCGATAGCTGGGGGGAGGTGGGAGGGGAGAGGGGGGGGAGAGGGAGGGGAGGGTGGAGAAGGGAAAGGAGATTAAATAGAATGGGACTGGAGGATAGACACGGATGCCATTTTTGACCCATTCCGCCTTCTCCTCCTCTATGCAGTAGCTGGGGGGGGGTGTGGGGGGGGGGGGGGGGGTGGGGGAGTGGGAGGAGAGCAGGAACGTATGGTCATCAATAGCAGCATAATTGAACCTCCCATCACTCTTCACCACGATCAGAGGAGCCTTGTGGCCCTCCACCAAGATGCACACCATTACGTGCCAAGCAACTCACAGCAGGCAGGTGAGGTCGGTGGTGGCATACTTGAAGCCCCCGTCGCTCTTCGCCACGATCAGAGGCACCTTGTGGCCCTCCACGAAGACGCACTTTGCCCCCTCATCCTCACTCAGCGGCACCTTGAAACACCTTGGCCCCCTCCTCTCACATCATCCACTCACAGCAGGCAGGTGAGGTCAGTCGTTGCGTAGTTAAAGCCCCCATCGCTCTTCACCACGATCAGAGGCACCTTGTGGCCCTCCACAAAGATGCACTGCGCCCCCTCGCTCTCCACCACCAGCCCGGCCGCCTTGAGCTTCTCAAGCGCTGCAGGGATGCGCGAGTTGTAGAACGACTCGCCCTGGTTGCATGAGAGTTGAGAGGGAACCCAAGGGGAGAAAAACATCAAAGACAGACAGGTAAAACGTCCTGCTCCTCCCCTCCACCCCTCCCCACTTCCCCCCTGCGCTCTCCACCACCAGCCCAGCTGCCTTGACCTTCTCCAGTGCTGCAGGGATGCGCGAGTTGTAGAACGACTCGCCCTGGTTGCATGAGAGTTGAGAGGGAACCCAAGGGGAGAAAAACATCAAAGACAGACAGGTAAAACGTCCTGCTCCTCCCCTCCACCCCTCCCCACTTCCCCCCTGCGCTCTCCACCACCAGCCCAGCTGCCTTGACCTTCTCCAGTGCTGCAGGGATGCGCGAGTTGTAGAACGACTCGCCCTGGTGGTTGCATGAGGGTTGAGAGGGAACCGAAGGGGAGAAAAACATCAACGACAGACTGGGACGAAATTTTAGGTGCCTCAAAAATCGTTGCATGAGGGTTGAGGGAAACGAAGGGGAAAAAAACATCATAGACAGGCTGGGAAAACGTCTTTCGCCTTTAACGCCACCTTCTTCTCCCCCTTGGCCCATAACTTGCGGTACTCCTCCCCCACCCCCTGCAGCTTCACCACCGCCCTCTGCACCCTCTCCTTGACCTCCCACCCAACCCTGGAAAACGAGACCCTTTCAACCCCACAAAAACACCAGCAAGCCCAACAAACTGCTTCCACATTCACCTTCTCCTCGAGTTTGATGCCCAACCGCTGGCAAACCAGATCAAACTCCTTCCTGCTGACGTCACAGATCTTGGCCCATGCTTTCCGGTACTCCTCCTCCCCCCCTTGCAGCTTCACAACCGCCCTCTGCGCCCTCTCCTCCTTCACCTCTCTAGTCTTCTCTGAGGCTAAGACACCCATTCAGCACAATCCATCCCCACCCCCTTCGGGAAGGAACCAGGCAAGCCGTCAAACAGCAGAAACCAAAAACCACTCTCAGGGCGCATCACCTCGGGGCTGGAAGGCCCATATCCGAACATACGTAACGAATTCACTGTACGAACAGTTTCTCGACGAGATCCGAACACAAATTTGAACACCCTGGTGAATGTGACAGCTCGTGACGAGAGGTGACAGCCTGTTCGAACATGCGACGTCGCCAAGTCTTGGACGACTTCGCGAAACGTCGCAAGAAAAATATTTAGTCGTCTGCCATTCCAGTTGACTCATTTTTCGCCCATTTAGTCAAAATGTCTCTTCGTGGTCTACTACTACTGCTCGCCTTGTTTCCCAACAACAATGTCCTTTTCGATGAGCTTTCTCCTGCATGGCGACATTTGCAATGGTCGCAAACATATGTGTGCGACCCTAAACCAATCAAGTCAGTCATCCATGCGGAATCCCTGTCACCAATCCCAACTTGTTCGAACAACTCTGTTCGAACGTGCGGCATGGAGAGCTTCGTGCCCCATGTGACAGCTCTGTTCAGATTCACGAAATTTCCGACTAGCGACGTCACGAACACCCATACGAGGTGTGGCGAAAAATGTAACATTTCACCTGTTCGAACGAGCGTGCTGTTCGAACTGAGAGGTGAAGCGCCGTCAACCCAACCCAAACTCACCTTCTCCTCTAATTTGATGCCCAGCCGCTGATAAACCAGATCGAACTCCTTCCTGCTGACGTCACAGATCTTGGCCCACGCTTTCCGGTACTCCTCCTCCCCTCCCTGCAGCTTCACCACCGCCCTCTGCGCCCTCTCCTTGAACTCTGCGTCCTCATCAAAGCGCTTCTTGGCCGCCTTGTAAAAGACTTGGAGATCTCCGATGGCCTGATCGCCAATGGTTTCCCAGTCAGGGAACTTGTCGAACAGGTATTCAATCAGCATGCCAAACTGACGTGACACAGACAAGACAACAGGAGGGAGGGAAGTGAAGGGAGCGGGCGGGAGGGAGGGGAAAAGGGGAGTCGAAACGGAAGGGAGGAATGGCAGGAGGGTAGTGAGCAGCACCCCTCTCCTTGAACTCGGCGTCCTCGTCGAATCGCTTCTTGGCCGCCTTGTAGAACACCTGCAGGTCGCCAATTGCCTGATCGCCGATGGTTTCCCAGTCGGGGAACTTGTCGAATAGATACTTGATCAGCATGCCAAACTGCATGGGTTGTTGAAGGAGCAGAGTGGGGAATGGGGAATGGGGAATGGGGAATGGGGAATGGGGGAGTGGATAAGCCCAAGAGCATGCTAGTAAGTGCCTTGTAAAACACCTGCAGGTCGCCTATTGTTGCCTGCTCGCCCACGGTCTCCCAGTTGGGGAGCTTGTCGAATAGATATCCAATGAGCATGCCAAAGTGCATGGGGTAGGAGGGGAGTGGGGGGGGAAAGATTTTCTAAATCTTAAATCCTGCTCCATCCTAAACCCCAAGCCCCGACCCAATCCCCAGACACCCCCTCGCCCTACCTGGATGCCCCAGTCGCCCACAAGGTTCCTCCTGAGGACCTCCACGTGGCAGTACTCGAGCATCCCCTTTCCCCTCCCCTTAAACCCCAAACCCTGGTTGTACCTGGGTGCCCCAGTCGCCGACGTGGTTCCTCCTAAGGACCTCCACGTGGCAGTACTCGAGCATGCGGGCCAGCGTGTCACCAATGATGGTGGACCGCAGCGCAGGTGCCCCACGTGCATCTCCTTGGCGATGTTGGGCGACGAGAAATCCACCACCGCCCGCGCCACAGGCAGGTAGCCAGGGCGCGCAAACCCACCCTTCAACCCCGAAAACCCAAAACCCGAAACCCTGAAATACTGGGATCCGAACCCCAAAGACACCCTCTCCCGGCCTACCTGAGTGCCCCAGTCGCCGACATGGTTCCTCCGCAGAACCTCCACATGGCAGTATTCCAGCATCCTGGCCAGCGTATCCCCAATAATAGTCGACCGCAGGTGTCCCACGTGCATCTCCTTGGCGATGTTGGGCGACGAGAAGTCCACCACCGCCCGCGCCACAGGCAGTTTAGGAGCCCACGCAGCGATGCCAGCGCCCTTCAAGACGCCAGACACGTGCTCTTCCAGCCAGGCTTGCGTCAGCACGATGTTCACGAAGCCCGGGCCGGCAATGCTCGTCTTTTCCACCATCGGGGAGGGCGGCAGGTTCTTGGCGATTGCCTGGAAAGGAGGGGAGGGAAGGTGGAGACACGGGGATGACAAGGATTCGGGATGTTTGATTCCTGTTTGGTTTCTTGGAAAGGCTGGGCTTTGATTGTTGGGCGACGACAAGTCCACCACCGCCCGCGCCAAAGGCAGTTTGGGAGCCCACGCAGCGATGCCAGCGCCCTTCAAGACGCCAGACACGTGCTCTTCCAGCCAGGCTTGGGTCAGGAGGACGGTGTTCACAAAGCCCGGGCCGGCAATGCTCGTCTTTTCCAGCATCGAAGAGAGCGGCAGGTTCTTGGCGATCGCCCATGAAGGTGGAAAGCAGGGAAGGGGGGGGAAGGAGATGGAAAGGCAGAGGGCACCAGGTACAAGGGGGGGTTTGATTGCTGTCAGATATCTTACAACTGGAGAGTGAGAATGGTTCGATCATTAACTGCCAGTAATATATACCTACAATTCGCCCAGGACCTGAACCTCTCACCTGACCAATGGCGTTGGGGTTCTTGAACTCAGTGGAGGGTTGATTGTTGTCAGATATCTTACAACTGGAGAGTGAGAATGGTTCGATCATTCAACTGCCAGTAATATATACCTACAATTCGCCCAGGACCTGAACCTCTCACCTGACCAATGGCGTTGGGGTTCTTGAACTCGGTGGTGGACCCCTTGATGCCCGCCCAGCCCATGGCGATGTAAGGTCGTAACGTTGCTGCTGCCAATGGCGTTGGTGCAGCCAACGCTGCACATGAACACACACCCACGCTCTCGCCTGGCCGATGGCGTTGGGATTCTTGAACTCGGTGGTGGAGCCCTTGATGCGCGCCCAGATGCCCATGGCGTCGTAACGTAGTAATGCTGCTGCTGACAATGGCGTTGCTGCTGCTGCCAACACGCACACACTCATGGGGCCGCAGCTAACTCCCACCCAAACATGCGCATGAACTAGCACACACCCACTCTCACCTGGCCAATGGCGTTGGGGTTCTTGAAGTCAGTGGTGGAGCCCTTGATGCGCGACCAGATGCCCATGGCGTTGTTGCTGCATGCACAAATGGGGAAGGGAACGTCAAAACGGCGAAGAGAGACGGACAGACAGTAAAATACTGTCACACATGGACGACTTCTGAGTCGACTCATGAGTTGACTTTTGAGCCGGCTCAAAAGTCAAGACGGACAGACAGTAAAATGCTGTCACACATGGACGATTTCTGAGTCGACTCATGAGTTGACTTTTGAGCCGACTCAAAAGTCAAGACTGACAGACAGTAAAACACCGTCACACATGGACGGATGGACAGAAACAGCCCTGGAAGCAACAGACGGACTTAGAAAGAAACGGCTGGTAATAACCGTTGCAGCGTGTGAAGCAGAACAACAAGCAGAGAAGACGCACCATTGGTAGTCCCCGAACTTGGGGTTGTTACACGTGGTAACCAGCGGCTCCAGATCGGGCAGGTCGGGAAATGTTTTCGCCAGAGACTGCGCCACGAGCTGGGCTACCAGGTCACGCACGCTGCCCTCCTGCCCCTGACGGGCAGAAAAGACGAGAGGGGAAGGCGAGGAAGAAGGGAAAGGTAAGGGGGAGGAGCGTTTGAAGAGGGTAAGAGAAAACGAGCGGGGGAAGGGGCGGGGGAAAGAAGGGGGGAGAGAGGGGAGAGGGGGGAGCGGGGAGGAGGGGGAAATGGGACGGGAGGTTGCGTTTAGGTTGAAAAAATCGTTGACGTGAATCCAGTTACAACTCTCGACTGTTGAATCGGATTACAACTCATGAACCCAATCCAAACACCTCCCTCTCGCTCCTCCCCCTCTCACTCCTCCCTTTCCCACTCCTTCTCTGCCCTCCTTCTCTGCCCACCTTCTCTGTGTCGCTGATTTCCATCGTCTTAACCGCTTCAGCCGCCGCTGCTGCAGATTCGCTCGCCATCGCTATCACGCTCGTTGAGTTTCGCAAAGGCTTCGCGAACGCTGTTACAGGTGCTGCGATTTGCGCAGAGAGAGGGTTCGCGGAACGCCAAGCGAGGGTTCTGCTGCGGGGGTTGAAGGCGGAGGCCGAATTGGAAGCGGAGGCGGAGTGGCAGAGAACCGCGGGGGCCGCGGAAATGCGGAGAACCGCGGGAGCAGCGGCAACTTGCGGAAAGGACGAAATCCGCCCGTAGGAGCCGAAGCAGCGAAGGCAAGGAGTTACCACTGCGACATGTGATTGTAGCCAGCGTGACAGTACGCGAAGGGAAGCCAGGGGCGGTATGGAAGGAAAAAGGAGGAGCAAGTTTGATAAGGGTTCGACTGATTTGAATCCGGAGAGGTACGAAACGCTTTTTTACGCTTACGGAGGTAGTGTTTGGAGCGAGGTTTTGGTGATCCCAATGCAATTAATGACGGTGACAGAAAAGCAAAAACGATTCAGATGATGAGGAATAAACACGACTGGGAAGACCATGGTACATTCTAGGTCACCAACTACACATGCCAGGAAAAGCAGAAAGCTGACCTGGCAAAAACTGGTTGGATAAGCAGCGCATTGGCTCAACTGCAGGCAGGCGATCGCGACATGCGAACCTTAGCGAAACGGATTACAGAGGAAAAAAAAGGGATACCTGCACTTATCCTTGAACAACGCCGCCTGAAACGGCGGATGATTAGGGAGAAAGGAGACGTGAGAAAAAAAGGACCATTGAAAGAAGTCAGGATTTCGGAATTTGGGGAAGCTGGCCAGCGTGCTTATATCGAAGCCTGATTCGCGGATGAGGAGGCTCGGAAACTTTGATAGTGAAGGGGTTTCTTCTATCGAGAGTGGCGGGAATCCCAAGGTTCTGCGACTACGACGGATTTTGGCTGTGGCGACGAAACTTGTAGCCACCAATGAAATGAGAATTTACGAGGTACCAAAGTTACCAGAATGAATCTGGTAACCTTGCGCGAAACGAATTTGGCTTCTCGTCACTTTCATTTTTCATTGCGAAGCAAATGCGAAACTGCTCCACGGAATGGTCTGTTGAATCCAAATCCGAAATCACGACAGGCTTTCGTGCGGTTCAAAGTGGTTCCTACCAAGTAAAAGCGTTTCTGTAAACCTTCAAAACGGTTCGGTGTGATTTTGAGGAGGAAACGAACCCCTCTGATCCTGGGAATTGCCCCCATCTGACAACATCACCAGCTTGAAATGACTACTGCTTTGCTGTCAGGATAATATAGAACGGCTCGCTTTCCGACTCGATACCATTCACAGCGATTTTTGTAGGTCCTGGTGCTTTATTTGGTGATTTTTTGTCTGCGCGAACTCTGAACACATTCATGGCGATTGGTCTTCAGCCTTCGTTCGTCGCCACCCACATCAACTCTGCCGTCCCGTCTCTTACGTTACCTCCGCAAGTTTCCACCTTCCCCCTCACATTTGCGCGCATTCCACCCGCAAGTGTCGCGCTCACCACTTCCCCATGCGTCCTCCCCCGCGCGCCCCTCCGCGGGGCACCTTCCCGCGCACGGATCCGCTCATCGCCGCGAACAGCGGCGGCACGCGCGGCAGCAGGGGGCGACGAGCCGCTTCCCGCGGGTGGCGACCCGGCGTTGGCAGCAGCGGCGTGGAAGGCGCTGGTAGCGGTGCGCGCGAGCCGGCCTCTGATTCACTGCATCACCAACTTCGTATCCATGGATGCCGCTGCTAATACCCTCCTCGCCGCTGGCGCCGCGCCGGCCATGGTGCATTCTCTAGAAGAGGTGCGCTGTTCTTCCCCCTCCCCCTTTCCCCTTCCCCCTCTTGCCCCCTTCCCCCTTCCCCCTCCCCCTTTCTCCCTTCCCCCTCGAGCCCCGCAAGTGGAGGATTTTCCCAGGAAACATTCCCACACTCACACCGTATTGGTGTTACACCTTCGAGAATTCTCAAAAGTCACACCCACACCACACCTCCCCCTGTCCTTTCCTCCCCCAAACCCCCACCACATCTCCCCACCACCCCTCCCCTCCCCATTCCCCCTTCTCTTTCTCCCCCATTCTCTCCTCAAGCCGCCAGGTGGAGGAATTTGCCAGCCTGGCATCGGCGCTCTATGTCAACATTGGCACCCTGAGCCCCAATTGGGTGGACTCCATGAAACGGGCAGCCAATGTTATTTCTGCCCGGAATCGGCCGTGGGTCCTGGACCCTGTGGGTTGCGGTGCCACGACGTACCGAACCAAGGTAGGCTCGTTCTCACCGAACCAAGGTAGGCTCATTCTCGCCGAACCTAGATAGGCTCATTCTTGCCGAACCAAGGTAGGCTTGATGTTCTCACCTGCCTTTCCTCTGCTGCCTATTCTCGCCTGCCTTTCCTCCTTTACGCACACCCAAGCAACCTCCATCTCTATCGCTATCCGTTTCTCATCTCTCACCTCTTCTCACCGTCTCTCACCCCTTCCCACTCACCTCCACCCTCTCTCACAGACCTCGGCGGAGCTCCTGGCACTGCGACCAACGGTGGTGAGAGGGAACGCATCTGAAGTGCTTGCTCTGGCAGGCGCCGTCAGCGCAAACACCCGGGTAGGCCAAACCCCAACATTCTGTTGTGTGCTTTTTCTCTTTTTCTGGGGGGGGGGGGGGGGGGGGTATTTGGGGGGAGTTCTGGTGTTTTGGTTGAATGTGGAACTGCTTTTTCTGGCAAGCACCATCAGCGCGAACACCCGGGTAGGCCAACTTTAACATCTGTTGTGTGCTAAGGAGGTAGGTACCGAGGCGATTCTTCATTCAACTGAAAAAAAAAAAAAAAAAAAAAAAAAATCTCATATGTTTCAAACCGTATGTAACTGCACCTTCCACTTTCCTTTCTACTCCCCTATTCTCCCCCCCAACGCACAACCAGGGGGTAGAAAGCACGGCAGCATCTACAGCAGCAGAAGCAGCAGCACAGGAGCTTGCATCAGAGTGACGCTGCATCAGAGTGACAGTGGTGGTGGCGGTGTCGGGAGCAGCAGACTCAATTCCTTGCTTCTCCTTCCGCCCCTGCTTCTCCTTCCTCCCCCACACCCCACACCCCACCCCCCACCCCCCACCCCCCACCAGGGGGTAGACAGCACAGTGGCATCAACAGCAGCAGTGGCGGCAGCGCAGCAGCTGGCATCAGAGCGGTTAACAGTGGTGGCAGTGTCGGGAGCAACTGACTTTATGTCTGGCCTCTCCTTTCTTCCCCACACTCCCCACCAGGGGGTAGACAGCACGGTAGCGTCAACAGCACCAGTGGCAGCAGCACGGCAGCTCGCATCATAGTGGGGGACAGTGGTGGCAGTGTTGGAGGCAACAGATTTCACCCCCTGCCTCTCCTTCACCCCCTGCCTCTCCTTCCTCCCCTGCCTCTCCTTCCTCCCCCACCCCACCCTTCTCCTCAGGGAGTAGACAGCACGGTAGCATCCACCGCAGCAGTGGCGGCAGCACAGCAGCTGGCAGCAGAGTGGAAAACAGTGGTGGCAGTGTCGGGAGCAACGGATTTCATCACCGACGGTCGCACCGTGCTGGCGGGGTGCCACTCCTTCCCCTCTCTGTTCGCTTTTTCCTCCCAGTGTCGGGAGCAACAGAACTCGTCCCCTGCTTCTCCTTCCTCTCCCCACCCCCCCACACATCCTCCCCACCAGGGGGTAGACAGCACAGTAGCATCAACAGCAGCAGTGGCGGCAGCACAACAACTGGCATCGCAGGGAGGGACAGTGGTGGCAGTGTCAGGAGCAACGGATTTCACCACAGACGGCCACACCATGCTGGCGTGTGGCAACGGGGTGCCTCTCCTGCAAGCCATCACCGCCACAGGCTGCAGCGTCACTGCTCTCATCACTGCCTTTGTTGCTGCTGCTGATGGTCATGGTCCTGCTTCGGATGCGGATCTGTCACCGCCTCTTCTCGCCACGGCCTGTGCTCTCGCTGTTTACGGGTAATTCGTCTACACTCCTTCCCTCTGCTTTTCTTAGACCAGCCCCCTCTGCTGCAAGCCAGCACTGCCACGACTCACGCCGTTCTTGCGTGTCACAACGGGGTGCCTCTCCTTCAAGCCATCACCGCCACAGGCTGCAGCGTCACTGCTCTCATCACTGCCTTTGTTGCTGCTGCTGCTGCTGCTGCTGCTGCTGCTGCTGCTGCTGCTGCTGCTGCTGCTGCTGCTGCTGCTGCTGCTGCTGCTGCTGCTGCTGCTGCTGCTGCTGCTGCTGATGCTGATGCTGATGATGCTGATGATGATGATGATGATGATGATGATGATGATGATGATGATGATGATGATGATGATGATGATGATGATGATGATGATGATGATGATGATGATGATGATGATGATGATGATGATGATGATGATGATGATGATGATGATGATGATGATGATGATGATGATGATGATGATGATGATGATGATGATGATGATGATGATGATGATGATGATGATGATGATGATGATGATCATGATGATGATGATGATGATGATGATGATGATGATGATGATGATGATGATGATGATGATGATGATGATGATGATGATGATGATGATGATGATGATGATGATGATGATGATCATGATGATCATGATGATCATGATGATGATCATGATGATCATGATGATCATGATGATCATGATGATCATGATGATCATGATGATCATGATGATCATGATGATCATGATGATCATGATGATCATGATGATCATGATGATCATGATGATCATGATGATCATGATGATCATGATGATCATGATCATGATCATGATCATGATCATGATGATATGATGATGATGATGATGATGATGATGATGATGATGATGATGATGATGATGATGATGATGATGATGATGATGATGATGATGATGATGATGATGATGATGATGATGATGATGATGTGTCACCGCCTCTCCTCGCCACGGCCTGTGCTCTTGCTGTTTACGGTTAATTCGCCTCTCTGTTTCCTCCTCTCTGTTTTTCGTAAATCACTTCTCTCTTCTTCAAGCTATCACTGCCAATGGCTGCAACCTCACTGCTCTCATTGCTGCCTTGCTGCATTTCTGCTGCTTTTGAGTCGACTCAAAAGTCACCGCATTTCTGCTGCTGCGGACTAAGCTTCTGCTCATCACGGTGCTCCCTTTCTTGCCTCGGGTGCTTCTGTATCTCCGCCTCTCCTTCCCATGACCTGTGCTATTGGTACCTACGGCCTCGGGTCGTTCTGTATCACTATTCGTCTCCCTTCTCCAACCTACCTTATCTCTGTATTGAGGCTCGCATTTGAAGTGGCATCAGCAGCACCAGGCGTCCATGGCTCTGGGTCCCTGCGAGTGGGCCTCATGGATGCTCTGTACTCGTTTAACAGGGGAGCAGGTTACTGGAGGAGTGAAGCTAAACCTCATTCTATTTCCTCCCCTCGTCCTTCCTCCCTTGGGTATTCAGGCTCGCATCTGAAGTGGCATCAGCAGCACCAGGCGTCCAAGGCCCTGGGTCCCTGAGGGTGGGCCTTATGGATGCTCTGTACTCGCTAACAGAGGAGCAGGTCATTAAAGGAGTGAAGCTACACTCCATTCCAGTATAATAAATAAAACTATATAATCAACCTGTCACTTTTTTTCTCCTATGTAAAACAGCCCCATGCACCTCATTGCTCCCTCGCAAGCACACAAGAGTAACTCCCTCCCACGCAAACACAATGTTGTTACTGCAAAGAGTTGATTTTTGAGGCGCCTAAAAAATCAACTCACAAGCACACAAGGGTAACCCCCGCGCTAGCACAATGTTGCTACTGCAAACACCAGCAAGGAAAATCATATTTCCTTGCACTCGGGTGCCACGAAAACTACATAAAGACAACCACCGTTATTTCAACAAACTGCCAGAGAAATCATTTGGGAATGAAGATCAAATCGCCGGGGAAAATCATATCAGGGTCCTTGGCCATCCTGCCCTCGTTTGCGTCAATCACCGTGTCGGGGTGAAGGCAGTACTTGTCAGCAATGGCACACACAGTGTCACCAGGTCTCACCTGGGGAATAGAAGGGAAGAGAGGAAGAGAGGAAGAGAGGGGAGGGCAGGGAGAGGAGTTGAGAAATATTCAAGGCTGCTTTGCATTGAAGTAGTGGGAATGTGGAGGGGCTTTTCTGGGAGGAATTCCAAGATGAATGGAAGATGAGACTTTTGAGTTTGAGTCGACTCAAAAGGCAGGGAGGGTTTACGTTGGAGAGGGGAGTTTGAGTCGACTCAAAAGGCAGGGAGGGTTTACGTTGGAGAGGGGCAGGAGGCAGGAGGCAGGTGGCAGGCAGGAGGCAGTCAGGAGGCAGGAAGCAGGCAGGAGGCAGGCAGGAGGCAGGAGGCAGGCAGGAGGCAGGTGGCAGGCAGGTGGCAGCCTTGTCATTCCTTGGTGGGAACGACGAGGAGGTCTTCTGGGAAGATCACGTCTGGATCTTCCACCAGCCCCTCTTGGGGAGGCAAAAAGGCAGCGGGGGATTACGTTGGAATGAAGAAGAAGAAGAGGAGGAGGCTGCTCTGCTTCGTCATTCCTTGGGGGGAACCACGAGGAGGTCTCCAGGGAAGATAACATCTGGATCTTGGTGTGTTTTGAGTTTTCAAAACACACCTGGTATAAGAAGCAGCTGCTCTGCTTCATCATTCCTTGGGGGGAACCACGAGGAGGTCTCCTGGGAAGATCACATCTGGATCTTCCACTAGCCCCTCCTGGTTCGCCTCTTTCATTGCATCCACTCGCACGCAGTAGCGATCAGCTATGCCACACATGGTGTCGCCTTCTTCCACCTGGGGAGGTGGGGGTGGTGTAGGGGAAGGAGAGGAGGACAGGGAGGACAGGGAGAGGGCAGGGGGGGCAAGAAGGGCAGGGATCATGCGAGGGGTTCCCCGTCAACCCTCCTGGTTTGCCTCTTTTGTTGCCTCCACTCGCACGCAGTAGCGGTCAACGATTCCACACATGGTGTCGCCTGCTTCCACCTGGGGAGGTGAAGGCAGAGAGGGGCACGGAGGGGCACGGAGGGGCACGGAGGGGCACGGAGGGGCACGGAGGGGCACGGAGGGGCACGGAGGGGCACGGAGGGGCACGGAGGGGCATGGAGGGGCACGGAGGGGCATGGAGGGCAGGGAGGGGACAGGGAGGGGCAGGGGGGACAGGGAGGGGCAGGGAGGGGCAGGGAGGGGCAGGGAGGGGCAGGGAGCGGCAGGGAGGGGAGGGAGGGTAGAGAGGGCAGAGAGGGCAGAGAGGGCAGAGAGGGCAGAGAGGACAAAGTTGCCAATGGTAAGCCCAATCGCCAGCAGAAACAGCCCCCTGCATTAGCAACCACTGCCCGCCCTATCCCCCCAACCACCCCTCCCCATGCCATTATGGTACAACGGTTTCTTCTGCCTTCTGTTCTGCCTGCCTGCCGTGTCAGCAGGAACAGCCCCCCTGCGATTGCAACCACTGCCCGCCCTACCCTGCTCCCAACCAGCCCTCATTATGCCCCAAACGCACCTCATGGTACAGCGGTTTCTTCTGCCTTCTGTTTTGCCGGCCCGAGTTGCCAATAGTAGCCCCAATCGCCAGCAGGAACAACCCCCCTGCAATTGCAACCACTGCCCGCCCCGCTCCCCCAACCAGCCCTCCCCCTGCCCCTCCCCTGCCTCCTCTCCCTCGCCCGCCCTGCTTCTTTCCATTTGCTAGTCTGTCGTGCCGGCGAGAGTGAGGGCGAGTGGTGGAGTGTGGAACTGCCACAACCATCGCAGCTGCTCTTGCCTGTGCTTCTGCTTTCGCTGCAGCCTCTGCCTTTGCTGCTGCCTCTGCTGCTGCTCTTGCCTCTGCTTCTGTTTTCGCTGCTGCCTCTGCCTCTGCCTTAGCTGCTGCCTCTGCTGCTGCTCTTGCCTCTGCTTCTGCTTTCGCTGCTGCCTCTGCCTCTGCCTCTGCCTTTGCTGCTGCTCTTGCCTCTGCGTCTGCTTTCGCTGCAGCCTCTGCTTTTGCTGCTGCCTCTGCTGCTGCTTTTGCCTCTGCTTCCGCCTTTGCAGCAGCCTCTGCCTTTGCTGCTGCTTCTGCAGCTGCTCTTGCCTCAGCTTTTGCTTTTGCTGCGGCCTCCGCCGCTGCTGCTGCCTCTGCTGCTGCTCTTGCCTCTGCTTCGGCTAATGCAGCAGCCTCTGCCTTAGTTGCAGCCTCTGCAGCTGCTCTTGCCTCTGCTGCTTTCGCTGCAGCCTCTGCCATTGCTGCTGCCTCTGCCTTTGCTCTTTCCTCTGCTTCTGCTTTCGCTACAGCCTCTGCTTTTGCTGCTGCCTCTGCTGCTGTTCTTGCCTCGGCTTTAGCTTTTTCTGCAGCCTCTGCATTCGCCACTGCCTCTGCTGCTGCTCTTGCCTCTCTTTCTGCTTCTGCTGTTGCCTCTTCCACTGCTGCGGCCTCTGCAGCTGTGGCTGCATCTGCCAATGCTGCTGCCTCTGCTTCTGCTATTGTTGCAGCTTCTTCCGCCATTGTTGTGCCCCTTACTGCCGCTGCTGCCACGTCTGCTGCCGCTGCTGCCTCTGCTTCTGCTTCTGCTGCCCCAGCTTCTGCTGCTGCTTCTGCAGCTGCTGCTGCCGCCGCTGCTAAGGCTGCTGCATCTGCTACTGCTGCAGCCTCCCCTGCTGCTCCTGTCTCTGATGCTGCGGCTGCCTCTACTGCCACCGCTGCCCCTATTGCTGCTGAAGCTTCTGTTTCAGCTGCTTCAGCCGCCGCTGCTGCTGATGAAGCCTCTTCCACTGCTGCTGCTCCCGCTGCTGCGGCTGCCTCTGCCTCTGCTGCAGCTTCGGCTGCTCCAGAGGCATCTCCCTCTGCTGCTGCCTCTGCTGCAGCTGCTGCCACGTTAGCTGCTGCTGCTGCCCCCTCTGCTGCTGCTGCAGCCTCTGCTGCTGTTGCGGCCTCTCTTGCCGCTGCAAGCTCTCCTGCTGCTGCTGCTTCTGCCGCCCCCGCCGCCTTTGCTGCTGCTGCTATCTCTCCCGCTGCTTCTGCCTCAAACGCTGCTGCTTCAGCTTCTCCTCTTGTTGCTACCTCTGCTGCTGCCATGGCTGCCTGTGCCGTCGCTGCTGCCGCTACTGCTGCTGCTGCAGCCACAGCATCAGCACCACCAGCGTTGGGACCAGAGAGGTCACCAGATTTGGTTGCATATTGAGTCTTAGCTTCAGCACCAGCACCAGCACCAGCACTAGCCCTTGCACCAGCACCAGCACCAGCACCAGGACTAGCACCAGCTTCAGCACCAGCACCAGAAGCGATGCTTAGCCCGTCAGTTCCATACTCAGTCATAGCTTCAGCAAAAGCACTCGAAGCAACGCTAATCGCTTCAGTTCTGTATTCAGTCTTACCTTCGGCAACAGCACCAGAGGCAACAGCAAGCCCTTCACTTCTATACCCAGTCTTAGATTCAGCACCAACACCAGAAGCAGCGCTTAGCCCTTCCTCTCTATATTCAGTTTCACCTTCGGCAACATCACCGGAAGCAACGCTAAGCCCTTCAATTCCATATCCCGTCTTAGCTTCAGCGACAGCACCAGAAAAAGCGCCAAGCCCTCCTTCTCCCCCATGCTTCCCCCCTTCCCCTCCCTCAGCTACTTCCCCCCCCCCTGCCCCTTCCCTCCCCTCTGCCACTTCCCCTTCCCCTGCCTCTTCCCCTCCCCCTGCCCCTTCCCTTCCCCCTGTAGTTTCCGCCCCTCCCGCCACTTCCTCTCCGTCTGCCCCTTCCCCTTCGCCTGGCGCTTCCTCTTCCCCTTGGCCTCCCCCCCCCAGCTTTTGAGGCGCCTCAAAAGTAGCCCCTTTCCCTTCGCCTGGCGCTTCCTCTCCCCCTTGGCCGCCCCCCAGCACCAACCCTGAGCTAGTCGTGATCTCCTCCGGCCGATCCGGCTCTATCACAGGGGACAAAACCGGCCGCCCAATGTCGAACAAGAAGCTAAGCCTCCTCCTCTGGGCGGCCGGAGTGGCAGGAGCCGACATAGGGCTGGGTAAACTGCTCGGACTCTCAGGCTCCTGCTCCTGCCCCTGCCCCTGCCCCTGCCCCTGCCCCTGCCCCTTCCCTTTCCCCTTCCCCTGTTTCTGCCCACTGCCGAATCCAAACAACCCACTTCCTCCTCCTGTGCTGGCACCTGGGCTGATTATTGCTGCCCCGCTTCCCCCTCGCTTGCTCAGAAGGTCCGTTGAGCCAAGCTTGAGGGAAATAGATGAGCGCACCCTCTTCTGGGCTGCTGTCTCTGTGCCTCCTGAGCTGCTGCCACTGCTGCTGGTGATGCTGGTGCCAGTGCTGCTGACAACGCTGGTGGCGGTTGTGCTGGTGATGCTAGTGGTGGTGGTGCTGCTGGTGATGCTCGTGTCCTCACCAATAGGGATGCTGCCGCTGCTGCTGCTTTTGCTACCGCTCTTGCTGCTCGCTCCCACACTCGCCCGGCGGCGCGACGGGTTGAGAGAAATCGACCGGAACATGGAAGACACGGTTGAAGCCATCGACTTGCTTGACTTCTCCACCCCTGCCCCTGCCCCTGCCCCTGTCCCTGTCCCTGCCACAGACCCTTTACTTCTGGATTTACCAAAGGCACTACCAGGAAATCCTTCGTTCCATGGGGATCCCTCAGAACTCCCCCCACCAGGCGACTCTCCCCCACCCACAGGTTCTCCTGTGAGGCTGAGCGGGCCAGATTTTGACATGCTGCTTGCTGCTCTGCTGCCTGTGGCGCTCAGTGCTGTTCCGCTCCAACTCTTGGGAATGCCTAGCTTATCCAGAGGGCCCGATTTCGACCGAGCGTCAAAACCAGGAACGTCTGAAAGAGCTGGTGATGCAGCTTCCGAACCAGACTTCGAAATGGCTTCTGTGGTTTCTTCTGCTCTAGTTTCTGCAATGATGACGCTTTCCGTCTCAGCACCAACAGAAGCAGTGTTTTCAGCAGCGGCCGCAGCAACAGCAGCAGGGGTGGCGCCACCAGCAGCAGTGGCGCTTTCAACAGTAGCAGCGGTTTCTGCTGCTGCTGCCTTTGCTGCTCCAGATTTCGAAGTGGTTTGTGCTGCTGAAGTTTCTGTGGTGATGATGGTGCTACCAGTGGCAGCATCATTGGCAGCACCAGTGGCAGCACCTGCAATGGCATTGGCATTGGAACTACCACCAGCAGTGGTGTTTTCAGCAGTAGCCGCGGTTTGTGCTGCTGAAGGTTCTGTGGTGATGGTGCTACCAGTGCCAGCATCAGTGGCAGCACCAGCGGTGGCAGTGGAAATAGCACCACCAGCAGTGATGCTTTCAATGGTTGCAGGGAGTCCTACTGCTGAAGCTTCTGTGGTGATGATGGTGCTAGCAATGCCAGCATCAGTGGCAGCACCAGCAGTGGCAGTGGAACTAGCAGCACCAGCAGTGGTGCTTGTAACAGTAGTAATGATCTCTACTGCTGACGTTTCTGTTGTGATGAAGGTGCTAGCAGTGGCTGCATCAGTGGCAGCACCTGCAATGGCAGCACCAGCAGTGGCAGCACCTGCAATGGCAGCATCAGCAGTGGCAGCACCAGCAGTGGCAGCACCAGCAGTGGCAGCACCTGCAATGGCAGCACCTGCAATGGCAGCACCAGCAGTGGGAGCACCAGCAGTGGCAGCACCAACAGTGGCAGCACCTGCAATGGCAGTGGCAGTGAAACTACCACCAACAGCAGTGGTGCTTTCAGCAGCAGCAGCGGTTTCTGCTGCTGAAGTTTCTGTGGTGATGATGGTGCTACCAGTGGCAGCACCAGTGGCAGCATCAGTGGCAGCGCCTGCAATGGCAGTGGCCGAGGAAATACCTACAACAGCAGTGGGGTTTTCAGCAGTAGCAGCAGTTTCTGCTGCTGCTGCCTTTGCTGCTGCTACAGCCTCTGCTGCAGCAGCCGCCTCTGCTGCTACTGCTGCCTCTGCTGCTGCTGCTACAGCCTGTGCTACTGATGCAGCCTCTGCTGCTGCTGCAACCTCAGCTGCTGCCTCTGCTGCAGCAGCAGCCTTTGCCTTTGCTGCTGCCTCTGCTTCTGCTGCTGCTGCAGCTTCTGTTGCTCCTGCAGCTTCTGCTAATACTGCTGCTACCTCTGCCTCTGCGTCCTCTGCTTTAGTTGCAGCTACTGCTGCTGCTGCAGTTGCCTCTGCCACTGCTGCTACCGCTGCTGCTGTAGCAGCCTCTGTTGTTGCTGCTACCTCTGCTTCAGCTGCGGCTTCTGCGGCTCTTGCAGCCTCTGCTGCTGCTGCTGCCGCTGCTGCCTCTGCTGCCTCTGCTTCTGCTGAAGCATTTGCAGCTGCTGCCAGTGCCACTGCTGCAGCCTCTGCTGCTGCTGCTGTAGCAGCAGCCTCTGTTGTTGCGGCTGCCTCTGCTTCAGCTGCAGCTTCTGCTGCTCTTGCAGCCTCTGCTGCTGCTGCTGCTGCCTCTGATTCTGCTGCAGCTTTTGCCATTGATGCTGCTGCTGCCTGTGCTGCTGCAACAGTTTCGCCTGTTCTTGCAGACTCTGCTGCTGCTGCCTCTGCTTCTGCTGCAGCGTCTGCCTCTGCTGCTGCCTTTGCAGCTGCTTCTGCCCCTACTTCCGCTGCTGCTGCAGCTTCTGATTCTGCAGTTGCCTCTGCTGCAGCTGCTGCTGCTATCCCAGCTTTTGCTGTTGCTTCTCGTTCTGCCGCTAATGCTGCATCTGCCGCAGCTTCTCCCACTGCCTCCTCTGCCTCTGCCGCTGCTGCTGCTGCAGCCACTGTTACCTCTGCCTCTGCTGCTGTCTCTGCTTCTGCTGCTGCTGCAACCTCTGCTGCCCCTACCGCTGCCTCTGATTCTGCTGCCACTGCATTCGCTGCAGCCTCTGCTGCTGCCGCAGTTGCCTCTGCTGCCGCCGCCGCTGCTACTGCCGCTTCTGCTGCCTCTGCTGCCGCAGCTGCTTCCTTTGCTTCTGCTGCTGCTGCAACCTCTGCTTCTGCCGCAGCCTCTGCTGCTACTGCTGCCTCGGCTGCCACCGTCTCTGCCGCTGCCTCTGCCACTGCTGCAGATTCTGATGCCTTTGCCGCCGCAGTTGCCACTGTTATTGCTGCTGCTGCAGCCAGTGCTGCTGTTGTGGCCTCTGCGGCGGTCTCAGTTGCCTTTGCCACAGCTGCTGCCTCTGCAGTTGCAGCGTTTTCTGCAGCTGATGCAGCTTCAGCTTGTGCTGCTGCTGCTGCCTCTGCTGCCGCCTTTGCCTCTGTTGCAGCTGCTGCCTCTGCTTCTGCCACTGCTGTTGCGGCAGCTTCTGCTGCTGCTGCTGCTGCCTCTGCTTCTGCTGCTGCAGCAGCTTCTGCATTTGTTGCTGCTTCCAATGCTGCCGCAGCCGCCGCTGCTTCAGCTGCTGCCTCTGCTGCAGTGGCGGCCTCTGCTGATGCTGCCGCCTCTGCCGCTGCTGTTGCCTCTGCTGCTGCTGCTGTTGCTGCTGCGGCCTCTGTTGTTGCTGCTGCTGCCGTTGCCTCTGCTGCCTCTGCCGACGCTGCAGCCTCTGCTGCTACTGCTGCTTGTGCTTCTGCTGCTGCCTCTGCTTCTGCTGCAGCCTCTGCTGCAGCTGAAGCTGCTTCTGCCTCTGCTGCTGCCGCCGTTTCTGCTGCCTCTGTCGCTGCTGCGGCCTCTGTACTGGCAACTTCTGATTTTGCTGCAGCTTCTGAGGCTACTGCTTCGTCAGCTTCTGCTGTTGTCTTCGCTGCTGCTCCAGCCTCTGCTGCTACTGCTGTCTCTGCTGCCTCCGCTGCTGCTGCTGCTTCTGCCGCTGCTGCAGCCTCAGCTGCTGCTACAGCTTGTATCGCTGCCGCTGCCTCTGCTGCTGCTGCTGCCTCGGCCGCTGCTGCAGCTTCTACTGCCTCTTCCGCCACTGCTGCCTCAGAACCTGCAGCTTCTGATTCTGCTGCAGCCTCTGCCTTTACTGATGCTTCTGCTGCTGCTGCAGCCTCTGCTACTGCTGCAGCCTGTGCAACTCCTGCCACTGCCTCGGCTGCTGCTGTTTCCTCTTCCGCTGCTACTAAGTCTGCTTCTGCAGCCACTGATCTCGCTGCAGCCTCTGCTGCTGCTGCTTCTTCAGCTGCTGCTGCTGCCTGTGCCGCTGCTGCAGCCACTGCTGTTGCTTCGGCCTGTATTGCCGCCGCTGCTTCGGCACCTGCTGTGGCCTCTTCTGCTGCTGCTTCTGCCGCTGCCGCCGTCACTACTCCTGCAGCTTCTGCTTCTGCTGCTGCCTCTGCTTTTGCTGCTGCCTCAACTGCTGCTTCTGCCTCTGCCCTTGCTGCTGCCTCAGCGAATGCTTCTGCCTCTGCTTTCGCTGCTGCCATTGCCTTTGCTGCTGCCTCTGCCGCTGCTGCTGCCTCCGCCACTGCTGCTGCCTCTGCTGCTCCTCCTCCCAGATCCAGCCCCGAGCTAGTCGAGCTTTCCTCCGGACCGTTTGGCTCTATCACAGGCGACAGATAGAAGCTGATTTTCTTCCTCTGCACAACAGGCTTCATAGGAGCCACTGTAGGGCTGCGTTGTTGACTGCTCGGGCTCTCTAACCCCTGCCTCTGTTCTTCCCCTTTGCTCTGCCCTTGCCCTGGCAGGCTGCTTGATCCAAGCAATCTGCCCGCTGCTGCCTCTCCTGCCTCCCTAGCTGATCCCCCAATTCGCTCCTCTGCCGACCTAGCTATCCCCCCAAGCCCCTCTCCTGCCACCCTTGCTGATTGCCCAAACCCAACGTCTTCTGTTTGAGCGATGCCCCCCTGTCCTTCCCCTCCTGCGTCCCTTGCAGACCCCCCTTTCACATGCATAACCTCTGTTCGTTTCAGCTCCCTCCCTCCTGTCGCTCTGAACTCCCCAATACCGCCTCCAACCCCCCCGCTGAGCCTCGTCACTACTGCCCGGCTGCTCCCCGCTTGCCGAAGCAAATCTTTCTTCACCATTTTGATCGACATAACCTTACGAAAATGCTTCGGCGGCACCCAGTCCTCAATCTCAGCACTGCTCCCACCGCTGCTAATGG